AGATTTATATAATTATTTTGTTCTATCATATGAGGTATGGCTTCAATTTTAGCCATCTAGTTATTAGAATCTTTTGGTCCAATTTTGAAATGTGAAGCTTTTATGTCTTGTTTTTCTACTTTTAGGTTTAGACTAGTTTCAGGAGGATGGATAACTTCAATGCTTTCTCCTTTAACTGTATGAAAGGTTTGAAAGGTGTTTTGGACAGTATTAATATTCTGAATAGTATTATCTTGAAATTCTGGGTATTTTATTCCTTCCTTTTTAATGGTATACCTAAGCCATTTAAAAAATTTTATGTTTGTTTTATGTTGTATCATAAATTTATTGAACTTACTATGAAAGAATTTTTTTAGTCTTTCACTAAATTCTTTGAGGAATCATTCCCTTATTTGTTTATTTTCTTCAGACAAAAAATCCCTTTTTACTCATTCTTTATCTATGACAAACTTATCTTGGGTTTGAATTGTCAGAACTTCGAAATCGAATTCAGACATGGTTGGCTCATCAGGCTCAATCTGAGAAGAGCTGGGAGTACTTACAGTATAAACTGGATGTTGTACTTGTTTTTCATTTTTTCTTAATCATTCTAAAATGATTTTGTCATCATGTGCTTTTTCATAATTAGATTGAGGTACTGAAGAAGTCGAACTTCTAGAATGAGTATAAGTTGAAGGTACAATATTCCGGCTATGCAGCTTATGAGCTAAAACAGTATTTGGAATACTCAATCTAGTTCTTTTAAGGGATGAAAATTGAATTTCAATTTCTCCATTTGGATATTCAATTACTTGTTCAGGCTCTTTATTTTCGAGAATAGGTAAACGAGTCTCAGTTTGTAGAGACCAATTTTCAGGTAAGTTACCTGCTTCCAGCATATTGCTTTAGGCGTGACAAGATTGGATTTTTTCACGTTTGTTTGAAAAAATATTGTTTGTCCTATTTTAATCCATTAATCTTGCGTTAAGACAAAGAGTGTTCATAACCTTATAACAAATTCTATAAACAAAAGCCAAATTTTAGGATCCAGGGTCCATGTCAAAACCTTGAGTTTTAAGGTAAAGGGTTAGCACTTTTAATAAATTTGGATCGGATAAGGACACCGAAAATTTTTTAAAGCAGTTGAAATATATGGGTCCATTACAGACACTCGACTCAACGATCCCTAAAAGGGAGTTATTGAATCTTCTATGTCTACTATCTCTTAGATAGAGTAAAACCGAATTATTTATTCCTTCTCTAGTTAATGGTTTTACTGCTATTTGTACAAGACCTATATGAAGATAGTTATAACCCCTTTTTATATGATCTGCAATCATTCTAGTTGAAAAGAGTTGAAAGCTATTTTGATTTTCCATAACTGATAGAGTTTCTTCAATTGTTTTTATTGAAAAATTGCTTTTAAACTCAAATGTTCATTTTTTATAAATATCATTTGTAGTGACCTTTGGGATATTTCAGTTTTGCAATTGTTTCTTAATATGATCTATTATTATTTTTTCTCTATTATTTACTCGTAGAGTATTATTACTAGAACTACCAGAAGCGGTTCTATTATATAGTGTTCTAAACCAATTTGCTATTTTATCTTAGTTTTATTTCCCTGAATCAACCGGAAACAGTCCCTACAAATTATGGCCTTCCTGGCTCCCGGTGGTCTTTGGGTCACAACGACTTTAGGTATGTTAACCAGATAAATGGACAAATTGGAGTCGTGGGAGGCAAGGCACACAGGGGGATAGG